CTTACATTAAGGATGAGGACAGACTAGATTAAAAGAACATAAGAATAATATTAGATTAGATTCAAAGAGGCACTCTGTCATAACAGAGTACATAGGTAATTAAAGAATATACATTTGATTGGAATAATGTTAAGATATTAGATTACGAAACTAATTATCAATAAAAATTAATCTCAGAAATGTTGCACATTAAATAACAAAAAAACGGACTAAATTTAAATAGAGTTACTTAGTGAGTCTTATTCTGACATTCTTGAAAAATTAGCAAACTTTGAAAAGATAAACAAACAAATAGAAAAAAGTCAATAATATGAGAAAAACTTCGGGGTTTACGTATGATATGTTATATAAATACTTGGCTGAGTTCTGTCTTTTCACAATGTACTCAGAGATAAGATGTCCCTGAATAATCAACATTGACAATTACAAAAATCCTTATAAGTAGACACGTTTATATTATATTTATTAGAATAAACATTATGATGGTCATCGCCTAAATAACATTCCATTCTATAGAGTGGATAATAATGAGATTGTTGGATTTAGAACGTAAATAAACGATTTCCGCGGATTATGAGAAATAAACTAAACACTTGTTTATTAATTCAAAATAAGAAATTGTATAAGATTAACAAAAGAAAATTATCACTATGCTCCGAATATAGTTCGAAGGAAAGAGTGACTAATACGTGCGTTCAGCACGAGGTCTCACGAGCAAACAAAAAACGTGAGAGGAAACGGAACGCCCGCATGTCCCGATTTATTTACTAACATGGTCAAGTGACCTACTAAATTATACATTTCTTGACTTGCTCCATACAAGATGGCATAAGGCGCCAAAAATTAAGCTCAACACTCTCTCTCTCTCTCGCCTTATGTCAACTTTTGAACATAAAGGACGCAAAAAAAATTTGTTTTTTCAACTTTAACACGCTTTATAGTCTTATTAGCAGATTCCATAACATAATCTAAATCCTAGAAACTTCTCTTTCGATAAAGGTTTAGTGAGTGTGTCAGCCAATTGATTATTTGTTGAAATGTATTGCACATCAATTTTTTTGGATTGTTGCTTCTCATAAGTAAAAAAGAATTGCACTTCTATACGTTTAGTACTCTTAATCGACGCAGGTGTTTTGTAAATGGTTATTGCTCTTTGATTATCGCAATAGATTACGGTCGGCTCTTTTTGGATATTATCAAGATTCTTTAACAAACGTTTAAGCCAGATCGCTTCCTTTGTGATCGAACAAAGGGCTATGAATTCTGCTTCTGTCATCGACGTCGCAGTAACTGTCTGTCTTTTTGAACTCCATGCTATTGGTCCTGAATTGACAAAACACACCCAACCAGTCGTACTGAGTCTTTTGTCAATGTCGCCTGCAAAATCTGCATCACTGTACGCGACCAGCACTGTATCCTGAGAGTTATAACTGAAGATAATTCCATAATTACAATAATAGTCCCTCGCAAATATTTTAACACTCTTTTCACAGCATTCCAATGCTCAATTCGTGGGTTTTCTATGAATCTACTCAAAATTCCTATAATGTACGCAATGTGTGGTCTTGTTCCTACCATCAAATACATTAACAAATCTATCGCTTGCCTATATGGAAAAACAACGTTCTCTTTGGCGCTATGACTAATACTGGACAATTTAATTCCAGGCTCGCCAGGAGTGGAGACGGGGTTGCAACTATCGTGATTAAAATGCCTCAAAACTTCTTCAGCATAAGTGCTCTGATGAATTCTTAGCTTTCTCTCGTCTCGACTCCTCTCGATCTGTAAACCAACAAAGAATTCAGCTTTTGAAAAAGTAGTTTTAAATTCTTTATGAAGATCATTCAACAAAACATTCATTTCTGACACATTCTGTCCACACAACAGTCCGTCATCAACATATATAGCTAAATACAGTTTCTTTTTTGTCTCGACAAATATACACGGATCGGCACTTAATTGCACAAAATTCCAACTTATTAGGAATTTCATTATTCTCACGTTTCACAACATAGATGTCTGTTTCAGCCCATAAATTGCTTTATTTAGCAGACACACACTGTCACCATTATCCTCGCAGCCACTAGCTTGTTCCATGTAGATTAGTCGGTCTAGTTCTCCACGCAGAAAAGCCGTCTTGACGTCAAATTAAAATATCTCCAAATTGTGTGCCGCTGCTATGGATAGCAGCATCCGGACTGTGCTGAACTTGACTACAGGCGAAAAGGTCTCCGTGTAATCAATTCCTTGCTTCAGTGAATATCCCTTTGCCACCAGCCTCGCTTTGTATTTGTTTATCTTGCGGTCCATCTTCAATTTTTTTTTGAATATCCAGCGATTCGAGATGACGTTAACATTCTTTGGTCTGGAAACCAATATCTAAGTTTGATTTTTTGTAAATGAATCAAGTTCCAATTTTATCGCTTGACGCCATTTATCCGAATCTTCAGCTATGAACATGTTCAACTTTAACGCTCTCGTCAAGCGAATAACTGGGCGACTTTAGCAGCAGCGTCAAAAAACGCTCCGTGTAAAGATGGTAGCGAATGAATAACCAGGCGAGTAGCGAATAATTCGGTATCCTAAGGTTGAACATGTCCAACCTTAACGATCTCGTCAAGCGAATAACTGAGCGACTTTAGCAGCAACATCAAAAAACGTTTCGTGTAAAGATGGTAGCAAATGAATAACCAAACGAGTAACGAATAATTCGATATCCTGCGCATGTGCGAGACAAATTTTTGCCAAAACGCTTTTTATTTTTTTTTTATTAGTAACAAATAAATGATTTAACGCTAGCGACTTTGTCAACCAAACGTTGGGCAAACCAAACGGTACTTAGAAACGCGCATTAAAGAAATTATAATGCTGTTAAGAAGCATGAAAGTAATCATTTGATTGTCAGCAAACATAGAGTTAATCTCAATCATGACTTTTGTTGGACATTGTGTCTATTTTGTATAGCGAGTGTAATGTTAAAAAAAGGGAGATTATTGAAATGATTTTTATCAAAAAACATAAAGACGCTATAAATTTGCAAAAAGATACAGAGAATTTAAATGCTGTTTATGATACAATTCTTAATGTTTTTTAAGATCCTTGAATATGTATTTTTATTTATTTTGACTTATATTGCTTATTATGTCTATGTTTATCTCATAGTTAGTCCTTCCGATTATTTATCAGTGTATGTTTAATTGGCGTTCGTGCACAGTGTAAAGTTATGACTGAATTATTACTCGAGTTCGTTCCTTTCACTGGTTGGCATGATCGAATCTAAGATCTTTATCATCATTTAAGAAGTATTAACATTATTTTACAATACATTATGACTTTAATTTAGATATATTTAATGACTTTTATGTAAAATGATCGGATTGTTATTTAATAACTTTTATATATTTAATGACTTTTATGTAATAGGACCGGTTTTTTATTTCGAGATTATTTAATTGTTAGATTAATACTTATTTCATTTGCACTGGAATATATTTCTATTATTTTAATGATTAGGTGTAATTATTTGTACATTTTATTTCATTTTTATTTCATACTTATAATTTATTAGTGTGTTGTTATACATTTATTGCTAATTTATCCTACATTGGTTTGATGCGCCTTAAACTTCAATTCATTTGTAAAAAAATTTTTTTTGTTTATTGTAGCCTGAAGAGGACCCGATATAGCGGTCGAAACGTTGCTAACAAATTAAATTCAACACCTTAGCCAGTTGGTCGATTTAATTCTATCAACCTTGTTTTTAAAATTTACTGGTGATCAAACTGCTTATTTTGTTTATTTTTTTTTATCAGCATCATGTAAATGATTTAACGCTAGCGACTTCGTCAGCCAGAAATTCGTTTTGAAAAAGCGAAAAGCTGGCAACAAAAGAAGCCAGCAACAAGCGTCAAAAGCAGCATCGTGTAGAGTACCCTTTAAGTTACATTAAAAATTCTACTTCGTTAAAATATTACATATATATACTGTGACGTGGTCGTCCCGACGCCCGTCACTCCCCAACGCGGGGCCGTAAAGCCGAGCGGCCGCGCCAAGAGAGCAAGAGAGAGAGAGAGAGAGAGAGAAAGAAAGAGAGAGAGAGAGAGAGAGGGGGGGGGAAGGGAGAGCGAACGCGAACCCCGAGAGACTTAGCGGCGCAAAAGATATTATTGTTAACGAGTTTATTTTTATTTTTTTATGTATTGCGGGAGTCTTGCCGAGAGGAATTATTTAATCAGGAGGGTTTGCGAATGCTTTCGCCTCCTTCTTTCCTAATTCTCTTGAAGACATCGATAACGTAAATTTCTTCATTTGTATTGAGCCATGTATCGATGTCCCGACCTGTGTTTACCGGTCTACCGCGAACAACACATTCCCTCTCTTCTTAGTCGAATCGCGGGCGATATTCTGGGACGAGAGCTCCCTTTTCGGCAGAAGCGCTCACGAACTCCGGCGATTCGGATTCTCGTACAATACAGCGATACGTGATGAATTAATAATTTGCGGTGAGATATCAGACACTAAATACAGCAATTATACAGCGATCTCGATCAATTAGTCTCTTTGTTTATTAATTTGTGTGTGTGTGTGTGTGTGTGTGTTATCTAGTTGTACAATTAAGAAATTGACGAAATAAATCACGATTATCAATTCGTCAAAATTCATTGCTCTGTTTTGAGTTATATTAGTTCTACAACCGCATAATAATTCCTTGAATTCCGAATTCCATTAAATAAAGAAACAGCAACCGTTGGAGGCAATCTGATTAAGTCTCTCCTACTTAATTTTCCTATCGCATTCCGACACAAGAAGAGATTAACAAGGAAGGCAAAAAGCGGCAAACAAAGAATCGAAAACACCACGCACGGAACACGTGGCCCTAAGAAAAGGCAGCACAACAACGGCCACGGGGAGAGAGAACCGTAGGGGCGCGCCAAGAAGGGCCCCGAGGACCCGCGGATAATTCCTGCACCCCCGCTCCCTGTTCGCCAGAACCCTATCGGCCGACATATGATAAGGAGGCCGCCGTTCCAGGCCGCGAAAGCCTAGAAATAACGTGCTTCTTCAGCGAGTTTTTTTTATATTGTATTACTGTCGCGAGATACCGAAAGTATCCCACACATTACGTTATTGTCAAGCAAATCGGGAAAATCGCGGAAAGCCCTAATTGCTTGTCGCGAATCCTATCCCCGACTCGCCGAATTCGCCCGGCTGCCGATAGCGAGTCGACAGGCCCGGGAGATTGGCACGACCGCTTGACACAGTAAGACATCGAGAGAAAGAGGCCAAAAAGCCGAGAGAGAGGACGAGAAGGATTTTGGGATGGAGTTTCGAATAGGTAAATCTTCCGATTTTTTTGAAACTACACTATTTTTTGTATTTTTGAACGCTGATTACGAATATGATAATGAAAATTTGCGACAACGTCATTTTCAAGGTAAAAACTCAAAAAAACTGAAAAAATATAACTTTTTAGATCTTATTTCAATAAATATTGATGTGAACAAAAAAATATTTCAAATAAAAGTTGCAGTTTTTATAAAAATACATCATTTAAGTTCTATTCATTTTTTGCGCAAAATTGATAGTTTTCGAGAAAATCGATATTAAAGACCAAAAACGGCGGGTGAAGTTCCGAAAAGTGCTCACCTTTGATTTTTTTAAAACTCAGTATTTTTACGTATTTTGATGCGCTGATTACGAATATCATAGCGAAAATTGGCGCATCTCTCATTTTTATAGTAAAAATTATGAAAAATTTCCCCATAACCCATAAAATTTATAGTTTTTAATTAAAACCCATAAAATTTATAGTTTTTAACGTTTATCTCAGTAAATACGAAAAATCATGATAAATATTTTAGACAAAAGTTTTAGATCTTACAGAGAAAAATATTTATGTCCTATCAAGAGACACGGTAGTGTCTCACGACCAGTTAAGGGCGTATCCGAGACACCGTGTATCTTAACGCGAGTCGGACATTTGAGTCTTTATAATATTTCGAATTCTCAATAACGGCTGAAGCAATCGAGTTTATACTAGACTTAATCGATAGATTGAGTTTGAATTATATAATAAAAGTGTCTTTATTTTTGCTCTACGTGATTTGTAAGCAGAGATATATAATTGCAAAGTCGAAATATGAAAAATTTCTTTTAAGAAACGTCCCCGTCATCATTATTATCATCATCGACCACGCAAACATAGTAGTATCGTGCTACACGTATTCACACGTATACAACACATGCGCACACATATATTACACGTACACAACACATGAATAGATGCATGTATTGGAAATGTCCATCTCGCACGTTTTACAACAGACGGCGATAGTTGCCCTCCGCTATATTGACAGCGTGCGGGGTTAAATATTTTCAATTTTCAATTTCAATTTTTACATTCAATTTTAATGTTATTATTTGCAAATTTATTGTCATAATAATTTATGTGCAAGTTTACAGTCTGTGATACAAAATCAGATATTTTGCTATTATTTCAATAATATTTCAATTATATAAATGCCTATGTATGAGTATGCATATATTTTTAATAATTTTCTTAATTAGCTTCTATATTTTTTTCAGTTGTACATCAAGCAGGTAGCATTATCAGCTCACTTGTGAGCATGGGTTGGGCAATGGCTAGTTATCATCGCAGCATTCGATTAGCTTAACAAGATAAATCTAATATCAGTGCTATAGGAACTATTTTACAATTTTTCTGGCATTTTCTTATTGCAGGTACATATATATCCAATAATTAATATACAAAATTAAATATTATTCATTACACACTTTGTATCAAAATAATATATTTTTTAAAATTTATTTTAAATTTATTTAATCATTTTTATCATTGTGATTGTAGTGGCAAGGATCTTATTGCTCAGTGTCATTGCAAGCATCTGGCCTGTATATACCATAATATATTGTGTAATACATTGGCTAAGTATGACAATATAGATTTTGATATATTCCCATGGAATATTGGAATTTTGTCGGACTTACAGTCATCCACCACATATGCAGCCTACAATTAAAGAACGCATTTATTCCATATTATTTGCTTCCGTTATTGGCATAGTGCACATTTTTATATATCTCAATGCTGTAGATAGCAAAACATTTTGAAAACATCTATCTTTCTATGTTATCTGCTTTTTTGAAAATATTGCAGCAAATTTATTATGGCAACATGCTTGTTCTCCTGCAGTTAAAGAGGCTTAGTACTTTAATATAATCTTTATTATTTGTATCATTTCCTTTTTCTTGGGAATTACAGCAATGCTTTTGTACTATATTGTCTTGCATCCCTCAAAAAGACAACATACTTCAAACGCACCAGTTCAAGCAATGTAACTTTGATATTTATTTACTTTAAAAAATGAGAGATAAACTATACAATATGCAATTAACCTTATCTTATGACTTTTATAAATCTTATGATAAAATCTAACTCTCTCTTAATCTTTATTATGAAAAGAATCTCGGTAATTTAAAATTAATATAAAATAAAAGAAATAAAAAAATTTTAGTTAAAAAAACTGGGCGCGCTGCAATGAGTTTAAAAGTAACAATTTAATTTTAATATCATTAGAATATTATTTAGCAGCGCGCCCAGTTTTTTAACTAAAATTTTTTTATTTCTTTTTATTTTATATTAATTTTAAATTTGCATAAGTTTTTAAATTTTAATTTTTTATAAAAATGTTTATTTATTCGCGCAATAATTGGACATTACTTTTTGTAGAGATATTAATTTTAGAACATAAATTTTTGTCAATTGATAGATTTTTTTACTTAAAAATACTTTTTTGTTTAACACTTTTTCACATGGCGCATGGACTTGGCATCTTGTTTATCTTTTTTTTAAAAGATAAGTTTTTTTATGGTACAATTCTACATTTGCAAATTTAAATTTTTATTAATTCATTATACGACTCTATATATGTCTGCAACTTTAATTTTCCACTGGTACAAGTTTCTACTTTCACTTGGCGCAATTTTTTTTTTATTTTATTACTTTTGTTACGATTGTACATGGGTTTATAATCGATAATTTTTCATACAATTCTATTGTACATGGGTTTGCAATGGATAATTTTTGTTAATGGCGTGCCCTTAACTGGTCGCCTTTTTTTACCTTTTTTTAAAGGTGAGTTTTTAGATTAATTTTTACCGTACAAATGAGTTTTTAACAAAAATGATGGAATCTAAATCTTATATTTGTTCTCCCTTCTAAGCACGTACTTTGCAGTACATATACGATTCCACATGGGTTTACAACTTTCCACGTAGAGCGAGGTTCCACGCAAACCTAGTTGTCTAGCTTTTCGGTAGTGTAGCCCCCCGCAGGGGGGCGGAATCCACTGTTTCCACGCATACACTTTTCCACGCGAAGCGAGGTTCCACATTGGGTTTTTTTCGAAAACAATCAGTTTTACGCAAAAAATGTATAAAACATAAATGATGTATTTTTATAAAAACTGCAATTTTTATTTAAAACACTTTTTTGTTACATCAATATTTATTGAAATAAGGTCTAAAAAGATATTTTTTCAGTTTTTTTGAGTTTTGACCTTGAAAATGACGTCGCAAATTTTCATTATCATATTCGTAATCAGCGTTCAAAAATACAAAAAATAGTGTAGTTTCAAAAAAATCGGAGGGTTCACCTATTCGGAATTTTATCCGTTAGCGTACGAGCTCAGCCCGTTATTAGAAACGATTTCGAGTTGGTGATTTGTCGAGAGCGATCGTGGTCAAGCGGCGAGGAATTTCGGGAATCTGTACGCGTCGTAGTTACCTTCGCGATTTACATCTCTCGGGGATTCATTGTCGTCGCGTCGTCTCAATTTTTGTGTCGCGTTTATTTGTGTGTTGGAACTATTGCGTTTTTGATGGGAATGTCGAGTATTGCATGTGTGAGTGAATAAGACAAATCGCGTAATAATTATTGGTGTCGGCCGTACAATTCGATTGTCGCGTGTAATAGAGCGAGAGCGAAGGACAAACAAGACCGCGTGCGAGAGCGCGAAAGCGACGAAGACAGAAAGCATGCGCGCGCGAGAGTGAGCGAGACGGCGATAGCCGTGGACTGCCGGTCGCCGGCGTATTTGCGTCAAATATCGAATTATATTATTTTGCTGCGATACTTTTGCTCTCTGATTATCACGGAGACTCTTTCGAATCGAAGCTTCAATTTTCTCGATCGCCGAATCTGTTGTTCGCTCTTTTAGGACGTGTAATTTGTTATAGAGTTGTTGCGTAAAATTGGTATGGTTAAATTTCGTGTATCCTTAGGGTGCCATTACATGAAGCGCGGAAACGCGGAAGAGAATTTAACTAGAAAAATAACTATTCCGCGTTTCCGCGAATTGAGTCGTTTTTTTCTGCACATTTGAGCGGAAGCCGCCCAGTAAGCAAGAAATATTTAATCAATATTTTATAATGTTGATTTTATATAAATTTTCTAAACGCTATGATATAATGTTTTATAAATATATGTTTAAAATACGATCAATTAAAATTAATATTAATCAAAATTAATATTGGTCGCTAGTGGTAAAAATAAGCTTAGAAAACTTGACTTCGACGTAACTAGCAAATTTTATTTAATTATTTCACGACGTTTCGACCATTTGGTTGTGGTCCTTTTCAAGTGAAATTTCCATCAATTAAACCGAGGTTAACGTAACATCACACTGGTGTTATTTAAAATCTAAAGTTAAAAGTTAAAAGAGGAACACGTCCCATCGTTATGATGTTGAAAGTTAAAAGTTAAAAGAGGAACACGTCCCATCGTTATGATGTTTCGTCAACGACTCCTTTAACTTTCGATTTTAAATAACACCAGTGTGATGTTACGTTAACCTCGGTTTAATTGATGGAAATTTCACTTGAAAAGGACCACAACCAAATGGTTGAAACGTCGTGAAATAATTAAATAAAATTTGCTAGTTACGTCGAAGTCAAGTTTTCTATATATATATATATATATATATATATATATATATATATAAGCATATGTTTAAAATATTATTAATAAATATTCTAAAAAAATATTTTAACTGATGTTTTATAAATGTTTTAAAAATATTATTTAATAACATATATTGCTCAAAATATTAATAAAATATTTTAAAAACGTTAATTTCAATATTACCAAAACCTCTAAATCGATGTCAGAGTGTGTTCATAATGATGTTGCATACAATATTAAAAACTTATATACTTGCCAACAAAAATAACGTTGTAGCAATGATTTTTTGCTTACTGGGCGTTACCGTGTGTGCACGTGGATTCAAAAGTATATAAAAAATAAAAACTTTATAAATGGATGGTCCTGTAAGTATATTTGAATTTTTTTAGTATTCAGTAAAGATATAGTAGCTTGTTATTTTTAGAGAAAAGTTTTTGTAATTTACACACTTTTGATATTGATATAAAATTACAGAATACCAAATTATTAATACCTATTGCAAAGTCATAACCTCATTTTAGGTAAAATAAAGATAATTAAACGATTGTATTTATTCACAGGCAACAAAGTGTGGCTATTGCGGTTTTATTTTCAGGGGATCATGTGGAATAATTTTGAACCATCATTGTTTCAAAACATACGATGAAACTACAAATCTTATAAATGTTGACAGCAATGCTGTGGTTATTATGAGTACGTATAGTATGTCAGAACAATCAATTGAGTTATTTATATAAGCAATAATTTTAGTTGTTTATTTATTTATGTTAAAGGAAAGAGACGTATATATATCAAACTGAAAGTGTGCAACATAAAAAGAAGCTTGACAGTCTAATACTCAATCAAAACTTACAAGACCCATATTTTACGGTTCCTTTTGTCTTCTTGCAGTTTCTTATAACGCAAATATAAAATATACATTGAAATAATTTTTTTCATAGTTATTTCTGCATATCTTATTATTGGTTCATCCCGTGCTTGTATAAGATACTTCATAATAATTATTAACATGATGTTTGAATCCATGATATTGTACTTGATATTATATTGTTACTTTTAAAATAATAAAACAATTGAAATATATAAAAACTTTCTTCTTCAATTGACTCCAAAATTTGATGGAATACTGTGTCCACATTGACAATAATTTGACGTACTCGTTCCGTCTGTTATGATTGCCTTATATTACATGGAGCACTATTTGTACGGAAAAGCAGAACGTTATGGTGACAAATATACATTTTTATTCATTTCTTAAAATTGTTTTTACTTAATATATAGTAATTTTTATTAATATGTTTATTTTTTCAGCTTATTTATTAGTTACAAGGATTTTAATTGATAAATATCGTTAAAAATTAATATTTTATAATTTTCCGTTCCTCTTTTCCTCTCAAAATCAGCTCCATGTAATATAAGGCAATCAAAACAGACGGAACGGAACGCGGGAATTTGGTTACTATTCTATTCCGCGTTTCCGCATTTCCGCGCTTCATGTAATGGCACCCTTAGTGTCAACGATTTATTAATTCTTTCGCGGCAACCACACCTTGCCCCTCTACCGTTAGGTGAGCAGCCGGCCCGTTGCGGAACTTCCGGCTGGATTTTCGCGTTATTCCGTGTGTCGCGAATTGTCGCGAAAGATCGTGTCTGGCGCCCAAAATTTCGAGTAATTTCGCATATCCGTCGGCTGGTACACTCTGCTGCGGCATGCGCGGAGCGACCATCAACTTAGTTCCCGCGTCAGATAATAATTTTTCAAGAATAAATAATTTTCTATTCTTCTTTCTTTTTTTGACGACGACCTCTACTCGCCGCATTTGCTCCGGGGCGAGAAAAGTCGTCGCAATACATATTAGAACATTATTTTATTATAAAAAAGTGTGAAAGTTAACAATTTTTAATTAAATCTAATAATGTAAAGTAAATAAATGGATTTTAGGAAGTACACGCAGTAAACATGTATTCATCCAACTAATACGAAACCGCGCCGCTAGATGGCCCCATAGCGACAAACTTATCCGATAGTAAAAAATCACTTTTGTGCTTTATATAAAGCAAGTAAGTCGCTTCAATTATTATTAAAAATGGAAATGTTGAAGAAACTGTTGAACTATATAGGTTTATATGACAAAACTAAAACCGATTTTATAAAAGAGTTGCCTCTTGAAATATCAAGCAAAATAATGACTATGTTAGACTACAAATCCTTTCAATCTGCTAAAATGGTTAGTCGCAGTTGGAGTCGTGTATGCGTATACGAATTTAAACATAAAAAACTAATGCGACGAATTAAAGCGAACAAATCTTTCTAATAAATTGAGAATAAAAAAAATTATGAAGTCAACTATAGAAATAGAAAGCAGCAACGGTATTAAATCACAATGTACATATCATAAATTGGTGCAAACACATATATACTTTGCGTTCAAAACAGTAAAAGCGTCGAGTCATCAGGGACGAAGAAATATACGATTGTAATATTCAAATGTAAAAAATAAAATTTTTGTTCTTTTTCGATCAACGTTTTGTTGAAAATAAAAGTGCAAAAAAATAATTATCACATACTGTATATATATATATATATCCCACACAGCACAAAACATTTCAAAGATCTTCGCAAAATTTATTCAAAAATGTTTCATATACGTCTTGAATACATGAAAATGTCTACTATTTTGTCACAAATATGTTTATGAAAGATTGCATAAACGTTTCAAATGTTACGTTTTCTATGTTATGTTTCTTAGATGTTATAAAGCCGGTTGTTTCAACTCTTGATAAGTTTTACCCGACAAGTAGCATATTTTTGTCTCTTTTTTTAGAACTTATCTGAAAAGAGACGAAAATATGCTACCTCTCAGGTAAAACTTACCGAGAAGTTGGAAAAATCGGCCCATAATGACGTTTTAGTGTTACTTGAAACCTTTTTGAAACTTTGAAATGTTTCTGCAACATTTTTGTTGAGTTTGTGCTGTGTAGGATATATATACATATATAGTATGTGATAATTATTTATATCTCTATGACCGATATATATATATATATATATATATATATATATATACGAGTATATATATATCCTACACAGCACAAACTTAACAAAAATGTTGCAGAAACATTTCAACGTCTTGAACGGTCTTGAACTGCGGGCCTCCTTATTACAATACAAGTCGACCGGCGGGGTTCTGGCGAAAAGAGAGCGAGGTTACGGAGATTATCCACGGGTCCTTGGGGCTCTTTTTGGCGCCTGCTGGTGGGCGCACTCCTGCAGCTCCCTCGCCCCGCGGCCACTGTTGTTGTGCATGACTTTCTGTAGAGCCACGTGTTTTGTGAGTGTTTTTAGCCACTTCCTGGTTTGTTGTTGTTTGCCGTCCTCGATAATCTCTCCTGATTAAACAAATCCTCTCGGCAAAACTTCCGAAATACATAAAAAATAAAAAATAAAAATAAAACACGTTATTAATAATATTCTTTCGCGCCGCTAAGTCTCTCGGGGTTCGCGTTCGCTCTCTTCTCTCTCTCTCTCTCTCTCTCGCTCTCTTAACACAGCCGCTCGGCTTTACGGCCCCGCGTCGGGGAGTGAACGGGTGTCGAGATGACCACGTTACAATATATATATATATATATATATATATATATCGACGCCCGTTCACTCCCCGACGCGGGGCCGTAAAGCCGAGCGGCTGCATTAAGAGAGAGAGAGAGAGAGAGAGAGAGAGAGAGAGAGAGAGAGAGAGAGAGAGCGAACGTGAACCCCGAGAGACTTAGCGGCGCGAAAGAATATTATTAATAACGTGTTTTATTTTTATTTTCATTTTTATTTTTTATGTATTTCAGGAGTTTTGCCGAGAGGATTTGTTTAATCAGGAGAGATTATCGAGGACGGCAAACAACAAACCAGGAAGTGGCTAAAAACACGCACAAAACACGTGGCTCTACAGAAAGTCATCCACAACAACAGTGGCCGCGGGGCGAGGGAGCTGCAGGAGTGCACCCACCAGCAGGCGCCAAAAAAAGCCCCAAGGACCCGTGGATAATCTCCGCAACCCCGCTCTCTTTTCGCCAGAACTTCGCTGGTCGACTTGTAATAAGAAGGCCCGCAATTCAAGACCGCGCAAGCCTCGAGATAACGTGCCTCTTCAGCGAGATTCTTATATTGTAAAATTGTTGTCGCGAGGGGTACCGAAAGTACCCAACACAATTCGTTACTGTCACGCGAGTCGAGAAAATCGCGGAAAGCCCTAATTGGCTGTCGCGTGTACTACCCCCGACTCGCCGAATTGGCCCGGCTGCCGATAGCGAGTCCGCAGATCCAGCAGATTGGCGCGACCGCTGGCCCGAATAAGACGTTCGAAAAGGAATAAGCCAAAAACTGAGAGAGAAAGAGAAAGACTTGGAATCAGGAGGACAAGAGAGGATTTTTCTTCCGGTGAGGCTACCCTATCTACGAATCACGCAAGTAACACGTCCGCATTGTTGACTTCCGAGTCTCGACCGTTTTAGCCCGATCGTGTAATTTAGTGTAATTATTTAGCGTACGGGCTAACCCCGTTATTAAGAATACTTTTTGGGTTTGTCATTTCGCGAGAGCGATCGTGGTCAAGCGGCGAGAAGCTTTGCGAGTATTTACGCGTCGTCGTTATTTTCGCGAATTACGTTTCTCTGGGGTTTATTGTCGTCGCGCCGTCTCACTTTTTGTCGCGCCTATTTTCGTGTTTGTCTAATTGCGTTTTTTTGCAAGAATGTCGAGCAATACAGCTGTGAGCGAATAGAGTGAGTTGTGTAAAAATTGTAATTGTCCGTCGTGTAATTCGGTTGCCGCGTATAATCGAGAGAGAAAGAAAAGGTTAGGTGAAATCGCGTGCGAGAGCGCGAAAGCGACAAGGATAAAGAATGTGCGCGCGCGAGAGTGAGCGAGACGGCAATAGCCGTGAACTGCCAGTCGCCGGCGTATTCGCATTACATACCGAATTATTTCATTTTGCGGCGATACTTTTGCTCTTTGATTTATCACTGGGAATCTTTTAAATCTGATTTCGAACTCTCGCGATTGACCACCCAGTTGTTCGCTCTTTTCTGGCGTGTAGTATTTCATAGAGTTGTCGTGCATCCGCCATGTGTAAGGTTTGTGTTATTTCGCGAGCTGAGATTATCGCGATACTTCGCACATTATTATAAGTTGTCGTCTTTGTCGAACGCTTAGCGACATCCCTTCGCTTTGTGTAACTTATCGTTGATCCTGCGAATATTATCCTGAGTCATCTCATTCTTTTTGTATTATATTTTTGTTATTAATTATTATTCTGTAAAGTCGATCACTCGCTAATTTTTAATTTTCTAACTACCGAGATTATATTTCTTTTGATTTATTTTTTTGTAATCTGACAATCATCCAATTTACTTTATATGAGATATTGTGTTTTTCCTTTTCTTTATTCTTTTGTAATAAATTGGAAGTATTTTATCTTACACGTTCGCGTCTTTATTATTTGCATCTCTTTATGTTGTCGCGCCTCATTATCGGTTAATTCTTAATTACGCGCGTACTTCATGTAATCGACGCGTTATCTATTTTGTAGCAACCACACCCTGCCCCTCTACCGTTAGGTGAGCCACCGGCCCGTTGCGGAACTTCCGGCCGAATTGTCGCGTTATTCCGTGTGTCGTGAATTGATACATGAAAGATCGTGTCTGGCGCACAAAAATAAAGTAATTTCGCGTATCCATTGCCTGGCGTTCTGCTGCGGTACGCGCGGAGCGACCACCAACTTAGTTCCCGCGTTCAATAATAATTTCCAAAGAATAAAAATAATTCTTCCTTTTTTGACGTCGATCTCTGCTCGCCGCATTTGCTCCGGGGCGAGAAAAGTCGTCGCAATATATTATTACG